GTTGCCTGGCATTCTGTCAAACTATCTACCACTCAGGACATGGAGGCAGGAGGGTCACAATTTTGAAGCCAACTCAGACTACATAGTAAGACCTACTTGCAAAAAAGAAAAAAGAAAAAGGCACCAAAATTGAAAGTCTGTTTGGGATCTGGAAGAGTAGCTAAGGTTTACAGCTTACACCCTGCACCTAACAAGCTAGGTATGAGGAAAACATTACTTCCTGTCAGACACAGTCTTCTTGGAATGCACACCCTCAGGGCAGCACAGAAGGTGGTGAGTCTATGCGTCCCTGTGTGCGCACATGCCTCTGCAGGCCAGGACTCCTTTGCCAAAGGGCTCACTGTGAATTCTTCAGATAATGAAGCCCACACACAGAGATTCCTGGGATTAGAGAGACTATAGACAAGAAATATAGGCCTCGGTATCGGGGGTGTGGCTCTAGGATTACAGGGTTAGCCAAGGATGCAAGAAGCTCTGTGTTTGGTACCCAGCATGACTTTAAAAAGGGCTGGGAGTCTGGAGAGATGGGCCAGTGGTAAGAGCATGTAGCACTCTTGCAAAGGTCTTGAGTTCTATTGCCAGCACATGTGTCAACTCACAGCTGCATGAAATTCCAGCTCCACGAGATCCAAAGCCTTTGGCCTCCACAGGCAACCATACATACACACACATATGCGCGCGCATACACACACACGGGCACATTTTAAAATAATAAAATAAGTCTTAAGAAAAAGAGAGAGAGAGAGAGAGCTAGAGAGCTGGCTCAGGGTTAAGGATACTTGCAGCATTTGTAGAGGACCCAAGTTTAGCTCTCATTTCCTAACTGTCTGCAACTCTAGCTCCAGTGGATAGATTTCCTCTTCTGTCATCCGAAGGCCTGCCCCTACCCCACAGGTACAGAGCTCCAGTCAGACCATATGCAGACACAGACACAAAAATAAAAATAAATATTAAAAGGTGTGTGTGTGCGTGTGTGTGTGCGCGCGTGTGTGTGTGTGTGTGTGTGTGTGTAGTGCTACACACTTGTAATACTGGCACATGTGAGCAAGAAGCAAGGCCATCCTAAATTACATAGTGACTCTGAGGTCAGTCTGGGATTCTAGGCAAATGTCTCTGAGCCACACCCCAGCCCCTTACTGGGGGATTCTAGGCAGGAGCTTTACCTCAGAGCCACTCTCCTAGTCCCTCTGTGACCTTGTTTTTAGGGAGTGATGTGAGACCTTTCCCTGTCAGTATAGGTAGACTGATGATTTTCAGTTTTTAGTGACTATATATTATGAATATCATCATTTCTCTACACATTCTACTACTTATTCTGTTTTCTCTTCCTCCCCGAGCCATTTTAATGACCATTCTAACACATATATCTGTGTGCATCTATGCAAGCATTTATTTTCATTTTAGTGTGTGTGTGTCCCCGTTTATGCATACCATAGCATGCTGTGGGTCAGAGGACAGCTTTCAGGAGTCAATTCTCTCCTTCCAACTATGTGAGTCCTGAGGATTGAACTTGGGTCCTTTGGGCTTGTTGGCAAGTACCTTTACCCACTTAGCCACTCTACCAACCCTCATGCAAACATTCTGTGAGAGGAGTCTCTAGAAGCAAAATTCTGAGTGAAGAAGTACAAACTTACAAACTGAAAGGTAGGGGCTGGAGAGAGGGGTGCATCAACTGGGTGTGGTCCATGTCTGTCATCCCAGAGGTAGAGGAGGAGGATCAGAAGTGCAAAACTGGAAAAATAAAAATAAAAAAGAAGTTCGAGGCCAAGCTAGCTGACACAGGGGGTTTGAGGCCAACTTGGGCTATATAAGACCCTGGAGAGAGAGAGAGAGAGCATTCCTGTCTCTCATCGATCATTTGCAGAGGGATACATGAGACACACCTTATCCATCCGAGCTGGATGCCCAGGTCCCTTGTTGTTCAGCAGATGAAGTGGTCACAGCAGAGTCAGTGGAGACATGCTCACGGAGGACAGGAGGAAAGTCAACAGACACAAAGTAAAGACATCCAAGAGCTCATGATCAGCCTGTGCAGTACAGAGGCCAACAGACCACCCACAGCTGAGGTCTTAAAGGTCACCCCACATCCTGGGACATAAAATTTGTCCTTTCTGCCCATCTGGGAAAGTTCTCTCCTGGATTTATTATTATTATTAAAGAGGAAGCAAGAAGGCAAATCATGGCCAGGAGTGGTGGTGCAGACTTTAACCTCAGCATTCCAGAGGCAGGGGGAAGGGCTGTGAGTTCAAATCCAGCCTGGTCTACATAGTGAGTCCAGGTCAGTCTGGAGTACACAGAGTGTCCAGGTCAGCCAGGGCTACATAGACAGACTCTGTCTCAACCACAACAATAACAAAAAGCAAGGCAAGCAGTTCAAAACTGTTAATGCTCTACTAAAGAGTTCAAATGAAAACCTTTGTGCTTAGCAGAGGCGCTTGGTGGAATGTGCCTAGACAGACAGACAAGTTCATATGTAAATGAGCAGTCTGTTGAGTTTGCTAATGGTAGGGCAAGCCCACTTGGAAATCACCAGCTTCAAAGCTTGAAAAAATGCCACTTTGGGGGATTCCCCCCCACCAGTACTGGTGGTTGAACCCACCCTGTTATTTCTCTAAGACAAGCTCTCATGCATCTCAGGCTGGCCTCCATCTCCCAAGTGCTGAGGTATGTGGTCCCCCGTCAATTTTTTTGTTGTTGTTTTGTTGAGGTAGTGTCTCCCTCTCTGCTCTAGAACTCATTATCCTCCTGCCTCTGTCTCCTTAGTGTTAGGCTGACCTAACACTAAGTGTATGCCACCATGCCTGGCCAGGAAGTATCTGTAGTTTTTACTTTATTTTTTTGAATTTTTGTGATGGGGGTCTCACTATATAAAGTTCTGGCTGGCCTTGAATTCATAAAGATCCAGGTGCTTCTGCTCCCAAGTGTTGGAGTTAAAGAACTGTGCCACCCAGCCTGGGCCTAGAAAGTATCTTTTAAAAATATATTTGCTTTTATTATTTTTCATTATGTGTGTTCGTGTTGTCTGTGCGTTGAGATGTGCATGTTAGTGCAGGTGCCCTCAGAGTCCAGAAGAGGGTGTTGGATCCTCTGGAGCTGGAGTTACAAACGGTTGTGAACAGCCTGGCGCAGGTGCTATACACCAAACTCAGGTCCTCTGTAAGAGCGGCAGGTGCCTTCAACCCCCGAGCCTCTCTCCAGGCTCCGAATACCTCCCAATACCTACTTGTTCAGTTTTTATTCACTTACTTGAAATTTAATTTGTGTGTTACACACGTGTGTGTGTGGGTCCACTCATCTATGCAAGCTATTGTAGAAGCCAGAGGCTGATATTAAGATGTATTCCCCAGTTTCTCTTTGCTTCCTTTTTGTTGTTGTTTTTATTTTCCCCCCAGGTTTCTTTTTTCTTTCTTTCTTTCTTTCTTTCTTTTTTCTTTTTCTTTCTTTTTTTTTTTTTTTTTTTTTTTTCTTTTTCTTTTTTGGTTTTTCGAGACAGGGTTTCTCTGTGGCTTTGGAGGCTGTCCTGTCCTGGAACTAGCTCTTGTAGTCCAGGCTGGTCTCGAACTCACAGAGATCCACCTGCCTCTGCCTCCAGAACGCTGGGATTAAAGGCTTGTGCCACCAACGCCCAGCTTCCCCCAGCTTTTAGAGGCAGGGTTTCTTTTTATTGTTTTGGAACCTGTCCTGGAACTAGCTCTGTAGACCAGGATGGCCTCGAACTCACAAAAATAATACGGACTGGGCATTGGTGGTGCACGCTTTTATCCCAGCACTCGGGAGGCAGAGGCAGGTGGATCTCAGTGAGTTTGAGGCCAGCTGACAGTGGGGAGTGTGGTGACTTTTTATTCCAGCATCAGGAGGCGGGACAATTGAACCAATGTGAGTTTAAGCCTGCCGAGGTCTCAGTGAGTTCCAGGCCAGACAGAGCTACATAGTGAGCCCCAGTCCCCATAATGAAAATTTATCAATATTGGGCTATAGAGATGGATCAGATGAGAACAGTTGCTTCCCTCAGAGGACCTGAGGTCAGGCCCCAGTGCCCACACTGGCCGGGTCACAAGTGCCTCTAACCCCGATTGTAAGGCATCTGATGCTCCCTTCTTGTCTCTATGGGTACCAGCACATGGGTGGCATATAGTCACACAGACATAGACACATAAGGAAGGTTTTTTTTTTTAAATATGTGTATGAGCTTGTGTTTACAAGGGTCTAGTTACTCACAGAGACCAGAGGAACTAGTTATAGTCTGGTTTTTTTTTGTGTGTGTGTGTGTGTTTTGTTTGTTTGTTTGTTTTGTTTTTGAGACAGATTCTCTGTGTAGCCCTAGCTGTACCGGAACTCTTTCTGTAGACCAGGCTGGCCTCAAACTCACAGAAATCCACCTGCCTCTGCCTCCCGAGTTCCAGAACAGCTAGGGCTACACAGAGAAACCCTGTATCAAAAAACAAAACAAAACAAACAAACAAACCTGGATTTGATTCCCAGCACCTACGTGACAGCTCACAAGAGTTTTACTCCAGCTCCAGGGGATCCAACACTCTCCTCTGTGCCTACACGAGGCATGCATGGGGTGCACATACATGCGTGCAAGCAAAACACTCGCATGTATGTAATAATACTAAAAGAAAGTAATCCTACCGCCTGGGAAGCTGAGGCAGGAAGATGGCTGCTAGTTTGAGGTCAGGCTGGACTACAGAATAATAATACTCAAGTTTCAAGAAATCAAAAAAGTGAAAATGAAACGAAACTAAATAGAATACAATTAGTTAAAATATGATAAGATGACACAAATGTCATTTCCTGGAGACATCCTCCTTCATCACACCATCCATCCTCTCTTTTCTCGCCCCCTCAAACGCGGTCTCCTGCAGCAACAGCGGCCTCTAGCGGCCAGTGCGTGGCGATGCAGCATTCTCTGCGCAGGCGCGGGAAGAACCAGCCTCTCTCACTCCCACTTCCGCTCCCCTCCCTGCGTTGCCCGGAAACCAGGGTCGAGACTTCCGTGGAAACGTCACGGGGCGGAGCCTCTGGTGGCGGGAACGGCGGGCGCTGGAATGGAGGTGCAGGAGAGCGGCTGTGGCGCGGCCGAGACTGGGGCACCGGAGCCCTCGCCTGTCCCCAGCAAGACCGCGGGCGGCGCCGGCCACTACGAGCTGCCGTGGTAAGCGCGCGGCCATACTAACGCGCGCGTATTGGTGATGGCGAGTGAGGGCGGGCCGAGTTCCAGAAACCCGGCTTACGACTGGGTCTGGGGGACCCCTAAGGTCCGGTCTACCCCAGGAGTTCAGATTTTCTTCTACTCTCGCTTTTTGAGACCGGGTTTCTTTTTTTACTTTGTTTTTCTTGGGACAGGGTCTTGTGTAACCTAGGCTGGTCTCGAACTCACTATGTAGCAGGGATGACTTTAAACTGCTGCTCTTTCTGCCTGCGTGGGATGACAGGCATGCTTTATTCCCATGAAGCAATGCTGGGGATGGAACACAAGTACTCAGTGCTATTCTCAGCCCAGGGGTTCACTGTGCAGCCCAGGCTTTTCCTCAAATTTCAGCAATCCTCCTGCCTCAGCTTCCCTACTGCTAAAATGACAGGTGTGAGCTACCAGGCAAAGGTAGAGGTTTTTATTTGTGGAAATTAAGGGATGTGTCTCAGAGCTCAGCTGTCTAAACTAATAGGGCTAACGTATTTTTCTTGTTCTTAAGACAGGTCTCACTACCCTAAGCTAGCTTTGAGCTTTATATATAGCCAAGAATGACCTTAAATTCTGATCCCACCATCTCTTCCACCTGTGAGCAGGGGCTGCAGGACCACCACTCCTAGTTTTTTGGGTGGTTTTTGTTGTTGGTTTTTTTTTTTTTTAATGGAAATTGATTCCAGACATTTGTTAAAAAACAAAAAACCGCACATGCCATCATGGACCTAGCCCTGGCCTGGCATTCTTTTCTGTATCAAATGTAAGGTCTGTTGCACCAGATAGCAGAGAGATCTCTTAGCTCACTGAAGTATCTGGACTAGAGCAGTGGTTCTTAATGCTTCGACCCTTTTACAGCTCCTCACGTTGTGGTGACCCAACCATAACGTTATTTTCGTTGCTACTTCATAACTAATTTTGCCACTGTTATGAATCATTACGTAAATATCTGTGTTTTCCAATGGTCTTAGGTGACCCCTGTGAAAAGGGTGGCTTGACAATCCCCAAGGGGTCATGACCCACAGGTTGAGAAACATTGCTCTAGAATAATACTAGGAAGATATTATGAAAGCTGGAAATTCGGCTCAGTGGCAGAATTCTTGTCTGACTTGCTCCAAGGCCTAGGGTTCCATCCCCAGCGCTTGAGTGTGTGTGTGGGGAGGGGGAGTTCACCATGTATCATGTATGTAATTTAGCATTGTCTGGTAGCCACAGAAATAAGTAAAAAGAAAATGGGTATCTGAATGGAATAGCATACACCTGTTAGGTCATTATCAGCTACATAAGGAGCTTGAGGCCTGTCTGGGCTGTGTGAGTCCTTGTCTCAGTAAGAAGGGTGCTTGTTGCCAAGCCTAACAACCTGAGTTTAATCCCTGGATTTTACATGTGGGAAAGAGAGGACTGACTCCCAAAGATTATTCTCTGTGGTACACACAAATAATAAACAAGTATGTATATACACTTAAAGAAGACAACGTAAAGCATTCAGGAGGCAGAAGTTGGGTTCCTGAATTCAAGGCCAGCCTGGTCTACATAGGTAGTTCCAGTCTGGCAAGTACTCCATGGTGAAACTCTGTCTCTGAAAACAGAAAAAGAAAAGAGATCAACAGAATATATAAAACAGCTTTGATGGTCAAATCATTGTAAATCTACCACATCTGTACCCAGAGCTGGAAAAGGTCATGTTCTCTCTTAACATTGCTTGTTTATTTAAAAAAAACAGAACTTAGTGGTGAGGAGGCTGAGATAGAAGGGTCATGAGTTCCGGGCCATCTGGAGATGTGGCCCAGTTGATAGGACACTTGACTGCCATTTGGAAAACCCACATTTCCATCCCCAGCACCTTGTAAATGACGTGATACTTATAATCCTAGAACTGGGGAAGTAGAGACTGAAGAGTCAGGAGTTCCAGGCTAGCTTGGTGAGACCTTGTCTGTAAATAAAAAATTCCAAATAGGCACAAGTGGTTTTTGTTCTTTAATTTATGTCTGTAGATGTATGCAGTGCCCTCAGAGATGAGGAAAGGCAGTTAGAATCCCTGGAACTGGAGGTGATAGATGATCGTGGGTGCTAGGAATTGAACCTGGGTCTTCTGGAAGAGCAGCCAGCATTCTTAACCACGGGCCATCTCTCCAGCCGAAAGGGCACTTTTTTTTTTTTAATTATAAATCATCCCAGTTCCCTCTCCCTTCCATGCCCCCCCAACACTGCTTTAATGAAGTGTTCATAAGTGCCTTTTCAAAGTTGCTTGAGAACTGCCCACTCAAGCTTCTCAGCCATAGCCCCAAACTACCAGTTGCTACTAGATGGGGGCAAGAGTGGGCGATCACAGCCTGCCGGGCATAACAGAGGCCCTGGAGGTGCAGCACTTACCTCATTTGGTGTGACTGAAGTGGGTGCACCTGGGTCCATCACCGCACCTGCCGGCCTCTGCAAATGCTGCACATCAGAACTGGCAGATGGAAACCACAGCTTACTCTGGTTTCCCCTGCTGTGTGGTGTGGACAGTGGCGGGACCAGTTCACACCAAAAGTTCTGTTAGATTTTTTTGTTTAAAGCTTTTCCTTTTTGCATTTCTTTATCTTCCATATCACCTGTGTGGAGGTCAGAGGTCAACTTCTAGGATTCTCCTACCATATGGGTTGCAGAGATTGAACTCAGGAGGTCGGGCCCGTGGCAAGGCAAGCACCTTTACCCACTGAGCCATCTTGCTGGCTCCTTTTTTGTTTTTGGGGTGTTTTTTTTTTTTTTTTTTTTTTTTTTTTTTTTTTTTTGAGACAGGGTTTCTCTATGTAGCCTGAATTCGCTTTGTAGACCAGGAACTCAAAGAGATCTGCCTACCTCTGTCTCCCAGGTCCTGTGACTAAAGGCATGTGACATCACTGCCTGGCTTTTTTTTTTTTAAAGATTCATTTTCTTTTCTGTGTGTATGTCTGAGAACTGTGTGCATACAGTACATGAAGAAGCCAAGAGAGGGCATTGTGTCCCTTGGAATTAGTTTTAGTTTCAGGAGGTTGTAAGTCACTATGTGGATTCTAGAAGTTCTGCAGCAGCAAATGCTCTTAACCAGTCATTTTTCTACCACATCTTTTTTAGCTTATTGAAATTCATTTAGCCCAGGCTAGCATGGAACTTGTTATATAGTCGAGGATAACCTTGAACTTCTGACCTTCCTGCTTCCACCCCCAGCATACCTGGGATTGCAGATTTCTGACACCATGCCTGGATGTTTTGTTTTGTTTTGTTTTGTTTTTAATTTTGATGTGCATTGGTGTTTTCCCTGTATGTGTGTCTGTGAGGGTTTCAGGTCCCCTGGAACTGGAGTTACAGACATTTGTGAGCTTCCATGTGGGTGTTGGGAATTGAACCTGAGTCTTCTGGAAGAATAGCCAGTGTTCTCGACCACTGAGCTACCTCTCCAGCCTGTGATTTATTTTATCTGTGTATGTGCCCTGTATACAATCCCACAGTGCATATGGGCATCACTTTTCCTCCACCATCCTGGTTCTGGAGATTAAGCTAAGGCTCACTACCTTTGCTGTGAGTGCCTTTACATGCTGAGCCATCTTGCCGCCTTCTTATTTCTTTGTTTTTGAGGCAGTTTGTGTATGTGGTAGAGGATGGCCTGGAACTCTGGTCCTCCCGGCACAGCCTCCCTGTATGGGCATTACAAGTAACATGACCCCACCCTGCCAGAATTTGCAGGATTGTCCTTTCCTGCCCTGTCCTCTGTGTACTATGAGCATAACCATGTCAGTATTTGCTTTTTTCTAAAACAGGGTTGAAAAATACAGACCAATAAAGCTCAACGAAATAGTGGGCAATGAAGACACAGTGAGCAGGCTGGAGGTAAGAGGCTCTAACCCCCTCTGACATCATGCTGTGGATCTGACAAGCTAGTGGTGAAGCAGGGGTTACGCCAACTGTTCCTCACGGGGATGACAAAGTACCTGATTAATTTGGCTTTAGCTCGCAGTCTGAGGACACAGTTCATCCTGGTGTGGAAGGCAGGCATGGCGTGAGGCAGCTGGTCACACTGAGTCCACACTGGGAACGGGGAGGTGGATGCTGCTGCTCTCTTAGTCCACCTTCTCCTTTTCACGGAGTTCAGGACCCCAGCCCATGGGAGAATGCCACCCACACTTAGGGTGGGTCTTCCTGCCTCAGTGGAAGGCAGAATTGGCTCCTTTGCAAATGCCTTTATCTGCTGAGCCAGCTTGCAGGCCCCCTTTTTTGTTGTTGTTTGGTTTTAATTTGTTTGTTTGTTTGTTTATTTACTTATTTGAGCATACTACTGTATATCCTGGCTGTCCTGAAACTTTCTGTGTAGACCAGGATGGCTTCTAATTCACAGAGATCCACCTACTTCTGCCACCACTGCTGGGCTATTTATTTGGCTTCTCGATAGGGTTTTGATATGTAGCCTGAGCTGGCTTTCAGTTCCTGATCTTCCTCTTGACCTCCCTGTTGCTGAGATTAGAGGCATGTACCACCACACTTGACATAATGACTCTCTTATACTCAGGTCTTCGCAAAAGAAGGCAATGTGCCCAATATCATCATTGCTGTGAGTACTTAGGCCTGACCCTCTGGGTGTCTCACATCCTGTGTCCGCTCCTTCCCCGGGGAGGCCTATGGGTCCCTGGCTGGGTTGTTGGGGAATCAGGAGCAAGTGCCAACAGTGGGGAGTTGGTGGGAGTAGCAAGATCTACATGGGAACCCTTTATAATTAATTAATGATGTGTATGGGTGTTTTGCCTGCATCTGTGCTTGTATACCATGTACATGTCTGGTGCCCTGGAGATGGGGAGTAGTGGTGATATATCCCTTGGAACTGGAGTTACAGACAGTTTGGGGTATTGGGAATGGAACTCAGGTCTTCTGGATGAGCAGCCAGGGTTCTTAATTGCTGAGCCATCTCTCCAGACCCTGGTCCTTCCTGTATGAAACAGTTAGGGGAGCTCTTACCCGCAGGGTCCCCCAGGAACTGGCAAGACGACCAGCATCCTCTGCTTGGCAAGAGCGCTGCTGGGCCCAGCCCTGAAGGATGCCGTTCTGGAACTCAATGCGTCAAATGACAGGTACAATGGGAGGGAAGCAGAGTCCCGCTGTACTTGAGTATAGGAGTTCTACTTGGTTCTAGCTTGTGCCTGGCGCTTGTTTAACTGGCTAGGGTTTGATGGGAGAATCATTGCCTTGTCCGAGTATCAGAGGAACATCTGCAGGGTTCCTTGTTTTGATGAAAATGTTCAAAAGTGACTCTTGTTAAAATTTATTTGTATTGCTGCTTATTTATTATGGGGAGGGACACAAGCCATGATGTACCTGTGGAGTCAGGGGACAGCTTGCTGGGAATTAGTCTCTCCTTCTACCAAGTGGGGCCTAAGGATCAAACTCAGGTTTTGAGAATTGACAGCAATAGCCAACCCCCCCCCAACCCTGTTGTCTCTTTCTTTGTGTTTGTGTATGTGAGCGGGTGCATACATCATGGCACATGTATGAAGATCAGAATATAATCGTGTGGAAGTTGGTTTTTCTTCTTCTATGTGGGTTCTCAGGTTGTCAGTCTTGCACGGTCTGCCAGCAGGTGCCTTTACCCACTGTGTCATCTCACTTCCCTGAAACCACTTTAAGTGTCCACTTCAGTCATGTTAATATGTTCCTGTTATTGTACGACAACTTCCTGGCCTTGCAGAATTGAAACTGCCCTCAGGTGCTCCCCATTTCCTTTCTGCAGCCCTGGCAGCCACAGCCCACCTTCTGGTCTGTGTATTTAACTGTTAACTCATGTTCCTGGGTTCAACTAAGGTCCTGCAACCCTCGGGGCTATAAGGAAGATTTAGGAGCCCCTTGTGAGCTGGGAGTGGTGTGGGAAATCCCAGCACTGGGAAGGCTAAGGTTGAGTTCCAGGTCTGCCTGGGTGCCATATAAATATTGACCCTCTCTCAAAAAATAAAATATGGGGCTGGGGAGATTGCTCAGCAGTTAAGAACAGGTGGCGTACTAGTTTTAATCCTAGTACTTGGGAGGCAGAGGCAGGCGAATCTCTGAGTTTGAGGCCAGCCTCGTCTACAGAGCAAGTTCCAGAACAGTCAAGGCTACACAGAGAGATCCTGTCTTCAAACAGACAAAGAAAGAAAGAAACAAAAAGAACATGCTGCTCTTACAGAGGCCTAGAATTCCTTTCCTTGCCCCTACATCAGGCAGCTCACAGCTGCTCAGAACTCTAGCCCCAGGGATTCTGACACCTCTCCTCTCTAGGGTCACTCACCTGCACATGCCCTGCATCTACGAAGACACATAGAAGGAGTCAAATAGGGCCAGAGATGGCACAGTGGCTAAACACCCCTGCTGTGCCAGCCTGTGAGCCCTGGTTCACCCATACAACTCAAAGTGAAGGCAAAACTTGTGTCTTTAAAGTGTGTCTTCACACACACACACACACACACACACACACACACACACACACACACACACACACAAAAGATCCCCTCCCCCCGCAATAATAAAAATTTCCTCTGTTTGTGACACATGTCTTCTTCCTGTTTCAGGGGCATCGATGTGGTGAGGAATAAAATCAAAATGTTTGCTCAGCAGAAAGTCACCCTTCCCAAAGGCCGACATAAGATCATCATTCTGGATGAAGCAGACAGGTGTGGACTGGAGATGGGTGTCCCCAAGTAGCCCAGGCTGGCCTCAGATTTCCAGTCCTCCTTTTGCCTCCAGAATAGGAGGGATGGTGGGGCTTGCCCCCAGACCTGGCACCAACCACCCTCTTATGCTTGCCTCAGCATGACGGATGGTGCTCAGCAGGCCCTCAGGAGAACCATGGAAATTTACTCCAAGACGACCCGCTTTGCTCTGGCTTGTAATGCTTCAGACAAAATCATAGGTGAGCATGCAACCTGGGCTGCTGTATCCAATGAGACTTCCTTTTATTTTATTTGTTTTATGTATGCAAGTCTCTATCTGTACATATGACTATATGCCAAAAAAGGGCATCGGCTCTCACTATAGATGACTGTGAGCCACCATGTGGATGCTGGGAATTGAATTAAGACCTCTGGAAGAGCAGCCAGTCCTCAAGGGCTGAGCCATCTCTCTAGCCTGAGGCTCCCTTGTTATTTACTTTTTTCATTTGTGTGTGTGTGTGTGTGTGTGTGTGTGCGCGCGCGCGTGCGTGTGCGTGCGTGCGTGCGCAGCTTTCTCTTGTGTGTGTATGTGTGCATGTGCGTGTAGCTTTCTCCTGTCCTGTGTATCCCAGGGATTGAGCTAGGCTGTCAAACTTGGCAAGTGCCTTTACCTGCTGAGCCATCTTGCTGGCCCTGTTTTTATCTCTTTTATGGTACTGCAGATGCAACCCAGGGATTTTAGGCAGGTTACTAATGGTGCCTGCCCTCTTTATTTTGAGACTTGGTCTTCCCTTAGTTACCCAGGCTGGCCTTGAACTCACTTTATAGCCCAGGAATGCCTTGAACCTACAAGGTTCTATGTTCCTGCTGCTTCAGCATCCTGAGTTGTTGGGATGATAGGCTTGAGCCGCCCAACCCGTCTTGAACATACTGTAGCTGTGTTGTGTGGTGTGCTGCAGCCCTTGGCATGGACTCTGTCTTTAGGCTTTGCTGCTGCCTGGCATGGCCGGGCCTCCACCTCACCACAGTGTCCCCGTTTGGGGTCCTTTGGCCTTTAGCCCAGCTGCTGCCCACAGCACTGGTCTACCCAGTCAGGCTGCTGTCACATCCTCCTGCCACCTACTGCGTGAGTCATCCTGTGCCACCTCCTGTGCGTTGTCTCTGTGTCATTTCTGTTTTGTTATCCCCAGCAGTGGGGGCTTTTCTGTCCCACTTCCCCCTTGTGTACCCAAGTGTGTGTATGTGTGGCCACATGCCTTTTCCCTTCCGGCTCATGGCTGCCTAGATGGGGAAAGTACTTAATGTTGACAGGAGCCCCCTCCCATTTATTTTAAAATTGCATTTTGTGTGTGTGTGAGCACTTGTGCATGTTGGGGGCCATGTGTCTGCATGTGATTGTCAGAGAATGGTTTCTAGAAGTCAGTTATTACCTGTGCAGGTCCCAGAATTGAGTTCATGTTGTCAGTCTTGGTGGCAAGCATCTTCATGCACTGAGCCATTCTTGGTGTTGGTAGTGTTCATTGTGTTTTTGAGCCAGAGTCTCAGGTAGCACAGGCTAGCCTTGATCTGGCCTTGTAACTAAGGTTGACCTTAAACTCATGCTCTTCCTGTCCCTACAGGAACTATGTAATCCTAAGTGTGGGGTTACAGGCAGGCACCTTGCCTGTTCCCCTGTGGAGCATCAAAGAGCTTGTTGGGTTCCATCCCCTCCCAGCCTGATCGAACTGAACTTCCCCAAAGGGCCCACCCATTGCACTGTGGCTCCAGAGGCCCTAACTCCTTCTCCTTGTGAGGCCTGGGGGCATGGGACTATTTTGTGTGGAGATGTCTGTCCTGAGGCCCATTTTCCCTCCAGAAGCCGGACCTGACCTATGTGTTCTGGATGTTGCTAACTCAAGTCCTTTTGCTTATTTATTTAAGTTCTTTTTGTTTTGTTTTTTGTTTGTTTTTTCAGTTAAAGTCAGGCATTATGGGTGTAAGGATACACACACATGCAGCACAGAAAAAAAGACCCTCTGCAGAGCGGGGGCGGGACTGGGAAAGTGGACTGTCCATCCTCTTTGCTTCTCATCTGGTAGTCAGACACTTGGCTCTGACCAGCTGTGTCCTGGTCAGCAGCCAGCTTTGCCAGGGGCCCTCACTCTGCTGTCTCTGTCCAGAGCCCATCCAGTCACGCTGCGCAGTGCTCCGATACACCAAGCTCACTGATGCTCAAGTCCTCACCAGGCTCATGAATGTCATCGAGAAGGAAAACGTGCCATACACAGATGATGGCCTGGAAGCCATTATCTTTACAGCCCAAGGGGACATGCGCCAGGTTGGTGGGTGACTGTCCCTGCCTGTCTTAGGGTTTCTGTTGCGGTGATGAAACACCCTGACTAAAAAACAAGCTGAGGAGGAATGGGTTTATTTGGCTTACACTTCCATATTGCTGTTCATCACAGAAGGAAGTCAGGACAGAACTAAAACTGGGCAGGGACCTGGAGGCAGAGGCTGATGTAGAGGCCATGGAGGGGCGCTGCTTGCTGGCTTGCTCTCCATGGTTTGCTCAACCTGCTTTTTTTTTTTTTTTTTTTTTTTCAAGACAGAGCTTCTCAGTATTGCTTTGGAGCCTGTCCTAGAACTTGCTCTGTAGACCAGGCTGGCCTCAAAATCACCGAGGCCTGCCTCTGCCTCCCTAGTGCTGGGATTAAAGGCGTGCACTACCAATGCCCAGCTTCTGCTTTCTTATAACAACCAGGACCATTAGCCCTGTGGTGGGCTCACCCACAATGGGCCTCCTCAATCATTCACTAATTAAGAAAACACCTTACAGCCAGATCTTATGGAGGGTCTCAATTGAAATTCCTTTCTTTCAGGTAACTAGTTTGTGTGTCAAGCTGACATAAGACTAAGCCAGCACACTGTCTTGGGGAATGAATGTTATACCATGTCTGGCTAAAAGAAAGACTGAGGACCCAGAAGAGCACCTTGCAGGGCTGTGAGCTGCTGGAGGGTGGGCATTGAGTCTCTGAGAGGCAGGGCAGGGAAAGATCATAGTCACCCTTGATATGCTCTTGCCTCCCTCCAGGCACTGAACAACTTGCAGTCTACCTTCTCAGGATTCGGCTATATCAATAGCGAGAATGTATTCAAGGTATCAGGGCTGGGAGAGGGCTGGTCTGCAACAGAGTGACCTACACAGCCATTGTTCTTACCACGGCTTTGTCTCTGTATCTAGGAGGGAAGGTCTTGTGGGGTTCCACATGTGAGTGTTGTGAGACGGGCAGATTCAGGCTAGCCTGCAGCTGTCATACTTGATTCCTCATCGCCTCCCTGCAGAACTGTTCTTATCCTCATCTATGCTCTGGGCCAGGCTCTGGTGGCTTTATTGATGCTACTTGTCCTCCCTCAGCCATCTCTCCAACTCTCTCCTCCCCTCTCCTTTTCTTGAGAGTCTGTAGCCCAGAATCTGTACCCAGGCTGGCCTTGAATGCCCACCTTCCTCATGCTGGAATCACAAGCATGCACCATGCTCCCTCACTTACTCTTTTATTTCAGAGATGGTCTTCATCTGTAGCCCACACTGACCTTGAATTTGAGATCCTCTGAGTTCTTTGGGGTTTTGTTTGGTTTTGGTTTTTTTCTGAGACAGGGTGTGTGCCGCCACTGCTGGGCTCTTCCTGAGTTTGAGGACACAGGCATGTGCCACTATGCCAGCACCATGCCTTTCATGCCACCCATGAGAGGAGAGGAGAGTTTTTTGGGGCCTTTGGCTGCTTTGTGGTTCATTCATTTTGGATGTATGAAATGTAACCAGGGCATCAGGAGCTGTCATATTTGGGGGTGTCTTTGGAAGTGAGAAGGGTGTTCTCAAATCCCATTCCCATTGTTGGAGACTTAGTGAAAACTAGCGTGTGGGTCTCATGACGCATGTGCTGATTGTTTTCTCAGGTCTGTGACGAGCCCCATCCCCTGCTGGTGAAGGAGATGATCCAACACTGTGTGGATGCCAACATCGATGAGGCCTATAAGGTAGGCCTTTTGTTCCCTCTCAATTTCCATGGTGCCTTGTGGGCAGCAGGAGCCCAAGATGGCACCAGGACTGCATCCCTGCCCTTGACCTTTAAAGTCACTCTCAGCTTCGGGTGGGCTTTCCTTGCTTTCCTCATCACTCAGAACCTGACAGAAGCAACTCAGCAGAGGCAGGCTTTGTTTGGACTCAGTTGGAGTAGGTGCAACCCATCGTGGCAGGAAGGCATGACAGCTCGGTGTGGTGTGAGCCTGTGGCTGAGACACTTTCCTTTTTTTTTTTTTTTTAATATGCATGGATATTTTGCATGAATGTGTGTCTTGTTCCCTTTGGAGTTCAGAGGATGGCATCAGGTCCCCAAGATTGGAGTTAGAATTTGAACTGCCACGTGAGTGCTGGGAACTAGACCCACGTCCCCTAGAAGAGCAGCCAGTGCTCTTAACCACTGTGCCATCTCTCCAGCCTCCATGAGCTGCCTCGCATGTTAATGGGTAGGGAGGCACAGACCTGCTGCCAAGCTAGAGGGGCTCCACCTCCTAAATCCACAACCTCCAAGAATAGCACCACCAGCCATGAAACTGATCCCTAGAGGCTGATTCCCTACCCTAAGCCACCTGGAAGCCAGTTTGATGGCCTACTGAGATTACATCTTCCACAAGAGGGTTCTCAGTCTCAGACACAGAAAGAGCAGCCAACTTCTTAAGTGATGTCACAGTCTTGGGTAGGGGAACATATCACATCCCTCTCTGTCTTCCTGAGAATTATGCTGAGAGCCAACCAGGAACTCAGCAGTCCCTGTTATCCAGAAGAGGAGGGGTCAGGGAGGGTCTAGTGTGGCCATAGGGCCTGGTTCCCTGAGCAGATGCCTGTGTATATGATGACTTCAAATGTGTAGGTGTCAGAGGTGCGATTGTAGACACTATCAGATCCCAGTTTCTCATCATCAGCTAACTGGGCTGGAAGCTGACTAGGAGCGGGCAGTGTCAGGCTCAGTAAGAAACTGCAGTGCCAAGCAGGGAAACAGGTACAGCTAGAGACTGGTTCCTGAAGAAAGCTAACCCTAACCCCTTACTGCAACCACAACTACCCAGAGTCCACCCCCAGGTACCAAGGCTCAGTGGTGTGTCTCTAGACATAGGCCTACACTGGGGAAAAGGGACACGAACTAAGGAAGTCGTGTCCTACTTAGGTTGTCTGGTCCCATCATGCAGGGGCCTTTCTTCCTGAGCCTGGGGGAGCTAGCTGGTAAAAGTCTGCCTGGAAGGTTCTAGATAGAGACCTGATGTAGGCAAGCTATCAGACCACTCGCCTGTAGTTGAGAACATGTGGCGCCTGCTGGGAAAATGAGCTAAATTACCTGCCATGATTGGAGGGCTGGTTGACACAAGGCACCCGTGGGGCCCACCGGCACCTCTGTAAGGTCCAGGTGATCTCAAAGCTCCATCCCCATTTCCTGTCTGGTGTTGAGGGTCTGTCGGGTCTTTTCATCTAGATTCTTGCTCACCTATGGCACCTGGGCTACTCACCAGAAGATGTCATCGGCAACATTTTCCGAGTGTGTAAAACCTTCCCGATGGCTGAATACTTGAAACTTGAGTTCATCAAGGTCAGTCAGCTCAGGAATACCTTGTGCACTTTTGCTTTCTTTTGAGTCTGGTGCCTTCCTGCTCTGCTTTTAGACAAGGCCTTACAATGTAGCACAAGCTGGGATTTCAGGCGTGTGCCACCACACTGCTTTGCATTGGCTTCTGCACTATGCATAGTGCCTTCCAGATCTGTTGTGACATGTGTCCATGGCCTGGCCCTTATCACCCAGCAGTATTCTGCATTGTGGCTGTGTCATGGTCACTTGTTCTCTAGGAAGGGTGTTTGGGTTTCTGTGGCTAATCGTTACTACACACTGGCACACGTGAAACAGCATGGCTGCCAACCAAGTTCTTGTTCTACACGGGTGGGTTCCCAGGTATGAGACCACCGACCAGGCAAGTACATGTTTAACTATGGGTGGACAGTGATGGCACATTTAGTTCCAGCTCTTGGGAGGCAGAGGCAGGTGTATCTCTGAATTTGAGGCCAGCCTGGTCTTACACAGTGAGTTCCAGGACAGCCAGGGCTGTTACATGGAGAAACCCGGTCTTGAAAAAGAGAGTTAGCTCAATTGGAATGCATCCCTCGAGTGTGCAAAGCCCTAGGTTGACCCTTAGCACTGCATAAGATGGGGTGCTGCTAGGTATGGGGCACATCTTCAGTGCTACACAGTGAGACCTTGTTTTAAAACAGTGCTAAAGTAACTGGATGTCTTTTGCCTGCTATAGTTCCACACCCTGGAGGTAGAGGCAGGACACTCAGAAGCTCAGGGCTATCATCAGCTCCATAGGGGATTTGAAACCAGCCTGAGCTGAGACCTTAGCAGCCTGGGGCTGTAGCTCAGTGTTGGAAGCTCTGGGTTTGCTCCCTAAGCTGGAACACCCTTTAACTGCATGAGCTGAACTTGAGTGAAGCCATGTCCAGCCTCTTACCATGTACATTGTGACGTTATTGTATGTTTTGAACTAACCCCTAGTTTAGATGGAAAGCAGCCAGCAATCCCAGCTTCCCCACCCGTTCTTTGGGCTTGTGTTTCAGGAGATTGGATACACTCACATGAAAGTGGCAGAAGGTGTGAACTCCTTGCTGCAGATGGCCGGGCTCCTGGCCAGGCTGTGTCAGAAGACCATGGCTCCAGTGGCCAGTTGAGCTGTCCTCCATTGATGACTAGGAGGGAGGGTCCTTGTCACTGAGACACTGATGATCCAGCTTTCTATCAAGGGGAGATGTGCCCAAGACACCAATAGAACACACTTCTGTTCTGGGAGAACAGGGTCTCTTGCAGCCCCAGCTGACTTTGAACTCCTCCACAGCTGTTCCTGCCTGACTTTGAACTGCTGATTCTCTTGCTTCTGCCCCCCTGAGTGCTGGGGTAACAGTGCCCCACCATACCTGGTTTATGGTGCTGGGGTTGGGACCCAGGGCTTGTGCATGTCAGGCAAGCCCTCTGCCAGCTGTGTGGCTGAGCTCCGGAGAATTGCTGCCCGTGTGCACTTCAGCTCTTCACATCTGAGTTCAGCTTCAGATCCTGGGTATGGGGCGAGGTGGGAAAGCCCCTTGTCTCCTCAGTCTTGAGGGTGTAGCTGATAAAGCCTTAGGATGTTTGTCTCACCATGCTTAATCTCGTGAGGCCTTGAGGAAGACCAGTGTCTTGCTTCTGCATGTTATGCCTGCAGTAGAAACTGCAGCAGATGAAGCTGCTGGCAGAGCACTTGACCACGTGAGTTCCTTCTCCAGACCCACAAGAAGGTGGAAGAAGAGAACTGACTCCACGGATATGTTCTCTGGGCAGCCAGGTGAGGTGGTGCTTGCCTTTAATCCCCACGCTTGGGAGGCAGAGGCAGGCGGATCTCTGGAGTTCAAGGCCAGCTTGTTCTCTTGTTCTGCGTGGCTCAGGATTATATAGAAACTACATAGACTTGATTAAAAAAAAAAAAAAAATGTCTCCTGGGCCCTGCATACATGCGCACACAATAATAAGTAAAATTATAAAAATAAAACAAGAAATGAAGCCAGGCAGTTGTGGCACACACCTTTAATCCCAGCCTTTAGGAAGTGGGAGGCAGGCAGACATAAAAAGAACCTTGATCTTCATTTCTGGCAAAGGTCTTTACCAGAGCCTGGCATGGTGGCACAGGCTTACACTCCCATCACCCAGGATACTGAGGCAAAGGATTGTCATGTCATGAGTTCAGTGCCAGCCAACCTGGGTTACAGAGTGAGACTCAAATGGCAAAAGGGTACTGGCAAGGTGACTCAGATGGTAAAGGCACTTGTCACACAAGCCTGTTGATGTGAGTTTTGTCCCTGGTCTGAAGGGGAAAGGAGACCCAGCTTCACAGAGCTGTTGTCTCTGACCATGCCTGTACACACTGAAAAAAAAGGATGGGGGTGGTTTGGTGGGGGTAAAGTGCTTCCTATGCTAGCATGAGGATCTGAGTCTGAATCCCAAGTAAAAGCCACCTGCAGCAGCGGAAGCCAAGTTCAGTGACACTTGTTTAGAAAACAAGGAGAGATGTGGCTCAGCAGTTGAGCGCACGCTAGGTCTCAGAGGCCCCTAGCTGGGTTCCCAGCACTCCATGGGGCAGCTGACAAAGGTCTGTAATTGGAGTTTCAAGTGCTCCAATGCCTTCTGCCCTCTGCAGGCACCTACACAAGTGGAATATTCTCACACACACTTTTTAAACAGGCCAGTGGGGTGGCACCTTTAGTTCCAGTACCCAGGAAGCAGAGTCCAACAGATCTCATTAAGGCCAGCCTGACTTATATAGCAAGTTCCTGGCTAGCCAGGGCTACGCAGTGTGACAATCTTTAAAAAAAGAAAGAATGGAGAGCAACAGGGAGATGCTTAGCCCTGTGGACATAAAAGGTTAAACAGATGTGGCAGAGCCTGCTCGGAAACTCACAGGGTTTATTGATGGTTGCTGAGACCACTTTTGTCTCCCTGCAGGAATGAGCAAATTGAAGCTAAGAACAAGTAGACCCCAGGTTACCCTACACCACACTCATCATTTAAGTTAGTATGTGTAATGCTCTCTGGGAGGCAGGACAGAGTCTCTGGGAGACTCTGACATTGACAATGTTAAATACAGCTCCAGCAATTGAAGTCAACTATAGAAAGTCAGGTAACATTCCCAGAAATCAGCATTCATAAGCAATTTGAGGTCCAAACAAGGGGGGGGGGGAGATACAAGGTCAGGTGTAGTGAGTGATACACCCTGTGATACCAGCACTGGAGCCGAGGCTGGAGGATTCCAAGTTTGAGACCAGCCTGAGCAATTTAATGAGACCTTGTTTAAAAAAAAAAAAAAAATCAGTGTTATGCTGTATTTTAGATGTGGTACTAGGGACACAGCCTGTGTCAGGTCCTGAGCGTCTGGTCACCACAGCCAATGTCCCCAGGCACCTGCTTTGCCCCCAAAGTCCAGGGTGTTGCTTGAAGATTGCATCCCTATCGAGTTCCATTCCAGTTTCTCCCAGGGGCAGCCACAGCCAGGTCTGAAACTCCAGCATTCCTGGAAAATAGGCTTCAGCGGGCAGTGAACTTCAGATCGTGGTCCCTTTCAGGCCCTTCAACAGAAGAGTTAGCGTGAGGACTTCAATTCAACTTCTAGAAACCACATAAAACAACAGGCATAATGGTGTATACCTGTAATCCCAGCACTTGGGAGATAGAGGCAGGAGGATCTGTGTGAGTTCAGGGCCAACCTGGTCTATGTATCAAGTCCCAGGCTAGCCAAGATTACATAGTGAGAGCCTGTCTCACAAAACAGGTAAGCTAGCCAGGTGTGGTGGACGGACCTGCAATCCCAGCATTCCACAGGGGAAGACAGGAGGAAGAAGGGAACAAGATCCAGATTCACTGTCCCTCTTGTCAAGAACTGGCTCTGGCTGGCTGACCTCCAGCTCTCCCATGCTCTCTGCTACAGGCAGACATCTCCCACCTGCTCTTCTGGGATGTTCTTCCCAGTGAGGAGGCAGAGAGCACCCCAGTCCTGTCACCCCAGGCTATCCTGGTCTACAGAATGAGTTCCAGGACAGCCAGGGCTACACAGAAAACCTGTCTATATTGAATTATTTTTTTTCAAGACAGGTTTTTCTGTGTAGCTTTGTAGACCAGGCAGGCCTCAAAGTCACAGAGATCCGCCTGCCTCCGCCTCCTTAGTGCTGGGATTAAAGCATGTGCCAACAACGCTGGGCTTCTTATCTATTTTATTGTTTGTCTTCTTTTCCTATCTTTCCTTCTTTCCATTCCCGTGTGTGTGTGTGTGTGTGTGTGTGTGTGTGTGTGTGTGTGTGTGTGTACCAGACAATCACTCTGTGGCCAAGCCATGCCTCCATCCCCCACTGGTGGACTGTAGAGCAAACACTCTACTTCTGAGACATCTCTGCTAGGCACCTCCAGTGCCCCTGACCACGGGTATGCATCCACCTGTCACCTGGGTGAACCTAACTCTTCTGGGTCCCCTAGTCCCACAGGAAGGGACTGGTGGACTTCAGTAGTCATCTCCCTGCTGGTCCTAATAGCTGATGAGCACCATGGGGCTATCTGTCACTCCATGAGGCTCCTCCCCTGCACAGGACTCTTCCTTGACTTGGGCTGCTAACTCTCTGAGCAGTAAGAGGGTGCCATACCTTCCTTCCGATTGATTTCTCCTAGACTTTCTCAGCCGTGGCCACATCCCCGTTCACATAATCTGGCTCCTCATCTGGGCTTCCTGATGGGGACACTTGTGCACCTGTGGATCGGGACAGGAAGTTGCTGGGACAGTTCACAGGCATACACCATACCGGTAGTTGCCCAGCCAGGGTGCTCAATACCCAACAAATGCCACAGGGGAGGTATACTGCTGCACAGGACTTGTGGTATCTCCCTGTCACTGTGGGTTTTTCTACCCCCTGAAATCCTCCTGCTCCAAGACTGGGTGGCCAGCTCTGGAGGTCAAGTGCTAGCTACCAAGGGAAGTTCCGGTAGAGCGCAAGGCTTTGGCAGCCTTGGGTACTATGAAGTCAGCCAGATTGGCTGAAGGGGAACCTGCCCAGACAGCCCCTCCTAGATTAACTGCCTGCCTACTTGAGTGGATACCACACACTCCTTCCCGGTGGCTTCTGCGCATGGGGGACATACCCACAGTCCTCCTTGATTCTCGCCACTCTCGGATGGACACTGAGTTCTGGTAATCCTCAGATTCCTCGCCACCTAAGGGAGGGTACAGGGACACTCTTGAGTAGTTCAGGGAGCCAGGGGCAGCCTGCTTCTACTGAGGATGACCCCAGTGAGGGAGGATAATCCCCTGGGCAAACTTGACCCAAAGACAACAGAGACATGGAGAATGCAGGTAAGGGCTGAATCCTGTTCATAAGGGTGCTGGCCCCTGCCCTGCCACTTGGGGGAGACAGTCTTACCTGAGTCAGGGGCAGTGGGCTTGCAGATGAGCACATTCTCGTAGGAGTTGGAATCATCGTCTGTCAACAGAAGGAAGCTGGCAGGAGATCTGCTAGTGGACCCTGCCTGCAAGCTCGTGTCCCTTGCCACTTTTACTACCCCTGCAGCCACCAAGCTCTCCCCCTAGGCTTCAGGGACCAGTTTTTTTTTTTTTTTTTCCTTGTGTGTGTGTGTGTTTGTGCGTGCGCATTGTTTGTTTTGTGTGTATGCTGGTGCAGGTGCATGTGTGGGGAACTATCTTGTTTGTTGTTGTTGGTCCTGGTGGTTTTGTTTTGTTTGGAGACAGTATCTCCCTGTGTAGCCCTGTTTGTCCTAGAATTTTCTATGAAGACCATGCTGGCCTCAAACTCACAAAGATCTGACTGTTGGGATTAAAGGTGTGTGCCATCACACCTGGCAGGAGACCCTTTATTACAAAATAAGAATAAAGATCAAGGAAAGGCACTTGCTGAGTTCCATCCCCTAGACCCACACAGTTAAAGGAGAGCATTGACTCTCCCAAGTCGTCCCAAGACTTCCACGTGTGTGTCTCCACACTCTCACAATAAATATTTTTAAAACACGTTAAAAAATAAAAGGGAAGAAAGTCAAAGGGAGGAGGAAGAAGACCCCTTAATAGACTGCTATGACCAAATGAGGACCCTGGCCAAAGGCCCTGCTCCTTCCCATGGACTCTGCCCCTCCCCCCTTGCTCTCCTCTGTAAAGCAGAAGTGGTCATGACCAAAGGCTCCATCCTCCAAGCTCGCTGGGGCTTATCTGCCATCAGTGCCCATCTGTGCCTGCCCAGCTCCAGATGACAAGTGAGCTGTTCTCAGATGTTCCCGCCCACAGCTCCACCTCTGCTTCCTGTCCTGTCCCTTGCTCTCCCCGCTGTCCTCATCCTCTGGTGTACATACTGACCAGCTTCCTTCCGCCCCACCCACCTCAGCCGGGCCTGTAGCGAGCCCTCCTCCCTCCGCCTCTCAACATCTCTGCAGACCCATCCTGACCTAAGGGCTGTGGCCTCTTCTACACCCTCCCCACCCCAGCCCACCTACCTTCTGGGGGCTTCTGGAAACATCCCCAGTTGTAGTAGTCTGTGGGGATGGGATCTCTGGATAAGAAAACAGAGAGAAGGTTGCTGAGCAAGCCTGTCAGGAGCCATGGGGGTGGATGGGGGTGTCTCTCCTTCCACCCACTCTGGATGCTTCCCAGAGCCCCTGACCACCCTGGGGCTAGAGGGCTGGCTGCCATCCTGAAGAGGACACCTTCAGCAAGTCCCCACCTTGGCCACAATTCTCCCCATTTGTGACATGAGGAGAGCCTGCTAGGGGTCATTTCTTTTGGGGGTGGCCTTGAATCAGATCCTTGTGCCTCAGCCTCTCAGGGATGGCTGGGAGGATAGACTTGTACCACCATGCCTGGGCTCCTTGGTGTGTGTGTGTGTGTGTGTCTGTCTGTCTGTCTGTCACTCCCCTTCCTTCTCTCCTTAACTGTACATTTATTTCTTTAGAGTCAGTTCTCTCCTTTCACCATGTGGGTTCCTGGGGTGGGGGTGGGGATGGGGGAGACAGGAGTTGTCTGGTAGCTGGCTGCCACCCCCACCCTGTTGAAACAATGCCTCTGTGTCTCAGGCTGATCTCAAACTCACTATTTAGAAAGGATGACCTTGAACAATCCTTCCCTGGGCCTGGCATTACAGGCCTGTGCCATCACACCAAGTTTATACGGTGCTGGCGATGGAACCCAGGGCTCCATGCATGCTAGGCAGGCACTCTGCCAGCTGAACTCCAGCCCTTTTTGGGTGGGGGGGAGAGAACATCTCAATACTGTGGCCCACACTGGCTTTGATCTCCCTGCCTCAACCTCCCCCTTGAGTACTGAAATGACAGACCTGGGCCACCATGTCTGCTTTGTAACTCAACTTTCACCAAATGGCAGGATGAGTGCCCACCCCCTACCAGATAACTCCTCCTTCAGGCAGAGCCACTTGCCAGGCCCCACAAGGCCATGGTCACCAAATTGGAAAGGCTACCCAGAGATGCGTCTTCACTGAATGACTCAGATAAAGAAGCTTGGGATGAGAGACCCAGAAACAGGGGCGTGGGCAGAGAGCAGACTTGGATGGGGGCCACTTACACATAGGAAGCATCAGGCCCATGTCTGCTTCCTGGAAGAGGCCACATAGGAGAGTTAAGCAGGGTAAGCCCCCAGGCTGTGGCCCAACCCCTCCCCACCAAAGCTACCCACCTTTGTAGACGTTCTGGTACCGAAGGGTCTCAGGTCCTGTAAGAAAGGCTAAGCTGTCTGTCCTCCAGGTCCTGCCCCAGCCCAACTCGGGCTCTGTAGCCCAAGCAAGGGACTAGGGGCTTTGGATGGTCATGCCTTTATGCACAGTCTGCTACATGCATGTGCCGTTATCTATCCACGCCAATCTCACCAGCCCCAGGCTCAAGCCTCCCTGAAAGGCCTCCCAAGCCCATACTTGCACCACTCTCACAGCCCCACTCAGGCTCATCCCTGCCTGGTGTCACTCACCTTCGAGGTGAGAAAACAGCATCTTGTTCTTCCTGCAAGGATGGGGCAAGGGGGACTAAGGTGGTGCCCTGGGGAGGGGACAGTCCCCTGGGCCCTCACAGGCCAGCTCTGAGACTCTGCAGGTTGGGGACAAAGTGAAGTCTGGGCTTGGCTGTGCCAGGTGGGGTCCTCCAGGTCTGGAACCTGGGAGGATCATGCAGTACAGAATGCCTTCCTACCTTTCCGATGACTTGTCTGAGGCTGTGTCCATCAGAGATCCTGCCCATACTGGCCTGGCCACTTTCAGAGGGAAGCAGGGACAAGGTATTGGTAGGCACTCATCCAGCTAAGCCTTCACCCAGTGTATCAGGCTGGCCTCAGGGCAAGGGTCACAGAAAGGACCTCAATATGGGAAGTTCCAGCCCTGAACCAAACCCAGGAAGCATTTGGGACTCACGGGAGTAGGTCTGAGCCACGGTAAAGCTCTCTTCATTTTCTTGCCTGTGAATACACAAGGGTGTGCTGAGCTGGGCCATGACATTCTCCAGGGACATAGAGAGAGGACATAGGGATAGATAGGGACAAGGAACACAGACAAGAGGGAGAAGCTGAGCCTGGGAATGTGACTGCACCTGCCTGGATTCCTAGCACTCAAGGCAAGAGGATCAATGTGAGTTTGAGGCCAGCCTGAGTTATAAAGTAAGTTCTGTTAGCCAGTGTAAGACCCTGCCTCAAAATAAATAAATAACAAGCAAGCTTTACCATGGCCCAGCGTGGTCAGAGATGGAAGACTGGTTTCAAATCTCTGTGGTTTTTCAGTTGCAAAAGGAAATGAGGAAGTGTGAGTGTGTGTGTGTGTGTGTGTGTGTGTGTGTGAGTCCCTATTAGGGTGTGTGCGCATGTGAAGGCTGCATTGTGAGTGTAAGAAGTGTGTGTTCATGCAGCAGGGAGTAGAGTGTGATGAGCCAGTTCCCTCCCCCTCTCTTCTTCCTTTTCATTTTTGTGATATGGCCTCACGCTACTATAGGCCTGACTGGCCTGGAACTTACCATGTAGACCAGGCTAGCTTAGAACACAGACATTAAATGAGTATATCACCATGCCTGCCCTTTGCCTTTCTGTTTATGTTGGGCATCAAACTCAGGATTCTGAGCATACTCCACATACACATACATACCATTGAGCCACATACCCAGCCCATTCACTGGGGAGTCTAGGCACATGCTCCCTTCATTTTAAAATTATTTTGTAAAATGTGTATGGGTATTTTGCCCATGTGTATGTCTGCCCCACCACATACATGCCTGGTGCCTGAGAAAGTCAGAAGAGGGCATTGGATCTCCTGGAACCTAAGACTGTGAGCCATGTGGGTGTTGGAGATCAAATCTAGGTCCTCTGGAAGAGCATCCAGTGCTATTAACCACTGAGCCATCTCTCCAGGCCTGCTTTTCAAGTGAAAATGTTTATTTGTATTTATCACTATTGTGTGTGTGCTGTGGTACAGACAAGGCCAGAGAACAATTTTCAGGAGTCCTTAGTCTCCTTCCACAGCAGGCTCCAGGGGTCAAACTCAGCTCACCAGGCTTTTGTGTCAGTCACTTTTACTTATCTTGTAGCCTCCTACTTATACATTTTAAGACAAGGTCTCACTGGATTGTCAGGCTGGACTTAACTCCCTCTGTGGCCTAGGCAGGCTCTAGAATATCTGGGGTGACAGGAGGTGCCCAGTGCTCAGGTTCTTCCCTGGCTACCGTTGCCATGTGATGGCATGTTCATTCAGACAGCCCCTTTCATTTCCCTCCACTGAATGCTAGGCACCCACTAGAGCAGGCATGAGGGCAACGACCGGGCTCTGGAAGGGATCCCCAAAAAAGCCAAGTTAGGGCAACTCACTGGTTCCTCTGCTCGTAGATTTTCTCATTTCTCTTCACCCCTGCAAGAACAGAAATGGCATGCAAGGGTCCCTGAACTCGGGTGCAGGTGGAGGAAAGCTGGGGCCTGGGACTCCCCTCCTCGTAATCACGCTCCTCCAGGCCCTTGGTGCTGCCTGTCACTGACATGGTTCATATCAGCTGGGTGTAGTGACACACGCCTGTGATTCCAACACTCAGGAAGCAGAAGCAGGAGGGCAGGGACATTTGAGGCTAGCCTGAGCTAAGTGTGAAAGAGAGGGAATTAAGAGGAAGGAAATGAAAGGAATGAAGAAATGAAGGAAGAAAGGAGGGAGGGATGGCAGAAGAAAAGGATGGAGGGAGAGGGAGGGAGGGAGAGGACTGGAGAAAGGGGTGGCGAGGTAAGAAGCAAAGAGGGAGAGAAGGAAGGAAATGTACTTGATCCCTTTTTATGGGGAGAGGATAGCATGAAATAGAGGATGCCACAGGCAGCCAGCCTCTCTGTTCCCTGGTCTGAGTGACCCCATGGTCGGGCAGAACCAGCCTTCACCACACCCAGTGTCTTCAGGGGCCAAGCTCATCTTCCTGCCCCTGCCACTACAGCCAGGGACCCTCTGGGACACTCCATGGTACTCCCATCACTCCGTGCCCATGTGACACTTACCTGGGCGGGAGCAGCGGACACACAGCCAGGCTGTGGCTCCCAGCAGCAGCAGCAGCGGGACTGACCATGGCCACAGTAGCTCCAACTCGGCATTCATGCTGGCTTGGGGAGGGGCCTGCAGAGCTGCATTGGCGATCTGTGAGCCAGGGGCTCCCAGATGCGGCAACCCCATTTCTTCTTCCTTTCTCTTTTTCTTTCTTCTTTCTTTCCTTTTTTTTTTTTTTTTTTTTTTTTTTTTTTGAGACAGGCTTTCTCTGTAGTTTTGGAGAATGTCCTGGAACTAGCTCTTGTAGAGCAGTCTTGAACTCACAGAGATCACCTGCCTCTGCCTCCCTAGTATTCAGACTAAAGGCTTGTGCCACTACTGCCCGGCAATCCTATCCCATTTTCTGATCTCTCTGATTCTTAGCTCCAGCAATAGCAGTGGAATGGCTTTCCCTACTCCTAACTAGCACACTATCAAATCATGTGTGCTAGAAGGTTCTGAGATCACTAGGCAACATTAAGAAATTGTGGACAACCCTAAGCACACATTCAGAGACTGGCTCCTTAATTCACAATTCACAGTGGAGAAGCTGAGACTGGAGAGCCCCCCTCTCCCCAGCTGCTATGTGGAAAGGGAGGGGTCAAACACAGCGTTCAGTCCTGGACCTAGCATAGGGGCTCACACCTGTAATCCCTGCAACTCTGGAGGTAGAAGCAGAATTGTCATTAGTTTCAGGTCAAGCTGAGACAAGAGTGAGTCTTGGGCTAGCCTGGGCTAAGACTGAAATAAAGTGGAGGGGCTGGAGAGATGGCTCAGTGGTTAAGAGTACTTGCATGCCTTTAATCCCAGCACTCGGGAGGCAAAGTCAGCCAGCTCTCTGAATTCAAGGCCAGTCAGTATCATTCAGGGATGGTCCCCAGCTGAGGGATGGGGCTTGAGGACCTGCAGAGTGAGGCTGGTCCTTTGGGAGACAAAGGAGGAGGTGGAGCTGTGGAGAGGGATGTCTGGGTGAAGAAGCTTGGAACCCTCAGTTAGCCCAGGACCACGTGAAGGCAGAGGCTGTCCCTGCCTTGGTGGAAATCCACATAGCCTGGCAATAAGTGGAGTACAACTGTTCTAACGAGCTTGTGAAACCCAGCTGTAACAACTCTGAAGAGACTCAGCTCCGTGGCATGGGCAAGGGATACAGTTGAAGGAGCCTGTCTTCTATAAGATGCATGTGGAGTGATAGTGACTAAGTGGCCACTCTATCTATGTTTGGCCCTGCTTCCAACTAGAGAAGGTGTAGCTCAGCTGTAGAGCCCCTGCCTAGAATCCCCCCAGTGACCTTTGGTTAGAATATTGACTTTTATCTACCAAAGAGACTCATAAACTGAGCATATGGCACATGCCTGTAACTCTATCACTTCAAAAAATAGAACAGGGGTGGGGGTGGGGCTAGAGAAATGGCTCAGTGGTTAAGAGCACTGGCTGCTCTTCTAGAGGTCCTGAGCTCAATTTCCAGCAACAACGTGGTGGCTCACAACCATCTCTAGTGGGATCTGATGCCTCTTCTGGCATAAAGGCATATGTGCTGACAGAACACTCATACATAAAGAAATAAATCTTAGCTGGGTGGTGATGGTACACACCTTTAGTCCCAGCACTCATATTTCTGTGAGTTCAAGGCCAGCCTGCTCTACAGAGTGAGTTCCAGGACAGGCAAGGCAACACAGAAAAACCCTGTCTCAAAAAACCAAAACCAACCAAATAAATATATAAGTAATAAAAACAAATCTTTAAAATTTATTCATCTTTATTTTATGTGCATTAGTGTTTTGCCACGGGTGTCAGATTCATGTTGGGAATTCAACCCAGGTCCTCTGAAAGAGCAGTCAGTGTTTTTTTAACTGCTAAGCCATCTCTCCAGCTCCAATAAATCTTAAAAAAAAAAAAAAAAAGCCAGGAGGACTGGGAGATCAAGGCTAGTTCTGGCCACAAAGTGCCACCATATATATATATCTCAAAGGAGGAATACCTACACATGCATACGTACGTGCACACGTGTGTGCATGTGCGTGCGCGCGCACACACACACACACACACACACACACACACACACGCACACACACGGTAGGGGAGCAGACAGACAGGAGGTAGAGGGGAAATATGAGAGAACAGAGGGAGGGTGGGGAGAAGAGAGGAGAATTGGAGCATGGTTTCTTACTCCTATATACATGTAACCCAGCACTTGGGAGGCACAGGCAGATCAGTTTGAGGTCATCCTTGGCTACACAGAGGTCAGCTTGGGCTACAAGACACTGTCTCAAGGATAAAAGAGGAGACTTGGAAATAGCACACAAGCAGGCTACATATAACTCACTGCTTGCCCACCTCTGTCCACTTATGACCCCAAGAGCAAGCCCACATTTTTGGCTTGACATTCAAGGTCCCAGGAGTTGGCCTGCTGACTTCTGTTTCCTTTTCAAGGGAACCCAAGCCTTTGAAAGGAGGATCATCCTCTAAGAGGCTTTGACTACCAGAGAGCCCACTGGCTTCTAGACCTGTTGTCTAGGGACGAACAGGACTCCAGAAGCCCTCAGCCTTGGGATATTGTTAGTCAGGGCATCTATCTACTCTAACCAGCCACATGGAAAATAACACATGTCTTTTGAGTTTGTCACATGAGGCCTGTCATGGAAATGATGACTGTGGAGTAGGGTCAGCCATGTGGGTTGTTTCCACCATGATTCTTGGTATAGTCACAGTTCTTAGCCATATGACACAGGAGCTGTCAGTGGCCTGCAGCAAAAATTGAGGCAATGTATTATCTTGCCTAGTGATATCTAGAGGCTCAGGCCCGGACTCCCTCCACTGACCCCAGCAGGGTCTGACAGGCTAAACATTATGAAGAGCTTTGAGGGCCTAATGAAGTAGATATGGCAGGTCTAGTAGAGCAGGCTAGCAATCCTAGCTGCTCAGGAGGCCGAGGCAGGAGTACTACAAATTCCAAGGTCAACTTGGGCTGTATTGCAAGTTCAGTGAGGCTCTGCCTCAAAACTTAGAAGGCTGGGGGCATAGTAGAACATTTGCTTAGAATGTTCCAGTGTTGGCCTAGGAGAATGGCTTAGTGGTAGATCAACTGCCTAGAACCTACTAGTATGAGGTTGGGGGGGCATGGCTCAACAGTAGAGTTCCTACCTAGAAACACCCAATGCCAATGTTTAACAAAACTAACATGTGCAAGGCTTTGAGTTCCATTCCTATCACCAGGGGTGGGGGGGGGTGGACCCTAGGGGTGGGGAAGGGTGTTTGAAGAGATGGCTCAGAGGTCAAGAGCATAGATTGATCTCCCAGAAGACCTGGGTTTGATTCTCTTCATCCACATGACAGCTTCGAACCATCTATAACTCCAGTTCCAGGGGCTTCAACCCTCTCCCTGTCTTTGTGGGTACCAAGCATGAATGTGATGTATGCATGTTCATGCAAGCAAAACACACACATACATTTTGTTTTTGAGATGGGCAGTCACTGTGTAGCCCTAGCTGGCCTGGAACACACAAGAGACTGGCTTACCTCTACCTCCCGAGTGCTGAGATTATAGAGTACACCATCATCATGTGCCAACTTACATAAATGTTTTAAATTTAACAAAAAAGGGTGCTGGAAGAAAGATCTTCCTCTGAGGTAATGTGCCCATGCTCCTGTAGATAACCCCTCACACCCTGAAAGCAAACCCAGTGAAACTCATCGAATCATCACCAGACCCCACCCAACTGGAAAAAGAACATGATACCAGAAATAATTAGTTGGAAAGAGGACAAGAATCAATGAGAATGGCGGCGGACAAGAAAGGTAACTGGTGAATATGGTCAAGATGCATCATTTACATGTATGGAAATGTCCTAAGCCTAATGCTATACATAATTAATACATGATAATTAATAAAAAGATTAAATGGGGGGCTGGAGAGATGGCTCAGAGGTGAGGAGCACTAGCTGCTCTTCCAGAGGACCCGGGTTCAACTCCTAGCACCCACATGGCAGCTCACAACTGTCTATAGCTCTGGTTCCAGGGAATCTGGCACCCTCATACAGGCATACCTGTAGGCAAAACACCAATGCACATAAAATAAAAATAAAGTATTAAAAAAAGACTGAATGGATGGAAGGTGGTGAGATAGATAGCTTATGAGTAAAAAGGTGCTTGCCTCCAAGTCTGATGAGATGCATTCCATCCCCAGGACCCACATGGTAGTGAGAACTCATTCCTGCAAGTTATTCTCTGACCCATACTGTAGCACACACACATCCATCCATCTATCCATCCAATCAGTAGTAAAAAATGGATTAAAATAGTGAAAAGCAAAACAAAAAGAGCGGGTGTGAGTGCGTGGGTCTGGGACTTGCTTCTCAGTTGGGAGTTCCTCTGAGCCCAACTGTTTTCTTCCCAGAGAGCAAATGGGGGTCAGAGAGGTGCACATTGTGCCAGAGAGAATCACAGTAAGAGGAATAGTGATGGAAATCTAGAGTAGGCCCAATGAATTCCCTTCACACCATGTGCTCATGCCCTACCCAGAATGACAGACAGCAGGTGGACTGAGGGTGGAGGGAACTGAGGCTGGGTCTGCAGGAGGGACAACCCAGCAGTCCCAGAAGGCCCCAAGGGGCCAGGCAGGGTGTGCTGTGGGTGTGTGTGGGACTGCCACAGCCCTGTGGCTCTGTAAGCCAAAATAGCTCAAAGGGAAGTGGGCAGTTTTCATATGAACAAGGTTTGCACAGGGCTGGTCTCTTACTGTAGCCTCTGGGCCTCTGGCCTCAATGGTCCTTAGTGATAACTGTAATCACTCACCCTTCAGGGAGCAGAGACCACGAGGGGCTGCTCAGATGAGGAGTGTAACCAATCACACAGACCTGGGCTGGCTGTTATTCATGTGCTACTCTGGGGCCTGTGGTTTTAGCTGAATAATATTTCTGTGGTTTGTTCCTTTGAGACAGGGTCTCATTATGGAGTATAGGCTGGCTTTGAACTCACCGTACTCTCACCTTAGCATTCCTAGTGCTGTGATGACAGAAACATACCACAATGTCTACCTGGACGGACCAAGGATTTGAGGACTTCAAATGTGGGTGGAGAGAGGACCTTGAAAAAATCTATTGGAGGTCGGAGGGCCAAGAGGGTTGTGTGTGTGTGTTAGTGGGTATGGCTGTGTGCAGAGATCTGGCAGGCCCTTTTCCAGGCTGGTGGCGGTGGAAGATACCTGGCCAACCAGGGCTACCTATTCAGAGCCAGAACCAAAGAGCCCGCAGCCCTACAGGGGTTATCCATCAGAAGGTACAAACTTGGGTCAGGCTTGTGTGGAGTTTTGGGGACAGCAACTTCCTCCTGGTTGGGACAGGGCCTGGGCAGTTCCCCAGGGCATCCCAGATTCACCCACAGGCCTGTGGCATTAGCTAACTCTCCCCAGATGGGAGAAATGGAATTCATTTCTGGTTCCTGGCTGGCCCTCCCCAGTCACTGGTAGTGACAGAACCCTTCTAGGGGCTTCCTGGGGTCTCACAGGCTGGGGGTTTGGACAGTCAGTGATCGGTAGGTAGGTGCCTGGAGCCCCTAAAACAGGCTGTCCCTAAGGGGCCAAAGCGTCAGGCCAGGGCAGAAGGTACAGGTGTCCCAGCCACCACACAGTCCACAGCTAAGGGTATTATGGGGGGTAGTGCAGGGGACACCTGCTCAGCTGGGCACCCCTGGGAAGTGCTTACCTGAGAGTGGGGGTTCTTCACCATGGCCACCCCATCTTGTGCCGGCACACCTGCCCAAGCTGATGCCAACACCACCGACTCTGGCGGGCAGCAGACAAGGCAGTTGGCTTCCTGTCACTACTGAATCATCCTCACACATCCGCCTTGGCCGGACTGTTTGGCTGGCTAGTGACAAAAGGGGTGGAGCAGAGACAGAAAAACAGAGAAATAGAAAGAGAAGAGCGGGCCACGGTGGTGCACGCCTTTAAATGCCTGTACTTGGGAGGCAGAAGCTGGCAGATCTCCGTGAGTTCAAGGACAGTCTGGTCAATATAGTTGAGTTCCAGTCAGGGCTACATAGTGAGACCTTGTCTCAAAAACAAAAAACCAAAAAAGAAAGGTAGACCAGCAAGATGGCTCGCTGGATAATTGCACTTGCCACCAAGCAATTTACACCCTTTCACCAGGAATTACATGGTGGGAAGAGAACTGACTGATACTTGCTAGTTGTCTTGTGGTACACATGAACACACATGCAGACACCCACACAAGGAGGCAGACACAGGAGAAATGGGAAGTGAGAGACAGGCACAGAAAGAAGACAGAAAGCCCAGGACTCACACAGCAAAACCAAAGCAGACACAGGTCCCAAGAAACACGGAGAAGGGAAGCAGCGTCAACCCAACCAAGAGTTCACAGGCACACGTGGAAGTGAACAGAAGGGAAGCCATGTAGGAGGGACCCACAGAACGAGAGAGAGAACACAAAACCGACCAGAGGTGGGAGACACTCAGGTCAGGACAGGAACCTCCAGGGCCCCAGCTATGCAGACACTGACAACCATAGGCCCGAGGAAGCCAGCACCCTGCTAGTAGCCACAGAGATCTCTGAGTGGAGATCAGAAGACAAGAAGACTAGAGCAGCAAAATCCCACAGGACAAACACCAAAGGGCAGACAAAAAATGGTAAGAGACATGGGGGACAAGGAAAAGACACATGGTGGATGGCACAAAGACAGCAGATGGAACAAAGGAGCAATGTCAGAAACAGCTGGATGGGCACCCACCTGTCTGTGTAAGGGGAGGGAGGATGTGAGTAGAGACCGGAAGTCTTGGGATCAGATTCACCTGCCTTAGCCTCCTGAGTACTGGGATTAGAGTGTGCCACCACTGCTCAGCATGCAATCGGCTCTCCCTGGGACAGATCTCAGGCGGTCCACCTTAGTGGAAAGCACCTTTACCTACTGAGCCACCTTGCCAGCCCACCAAGTTTTATTTTTGTGTTTTTATGTCACACTATGTAGTCCTGGCTGGCCTGGGAACTGAGACCCACCTGCTTCTTCCCAAATGCTGGGACCATACCCAGCTTCCACCTGAATTTTCTCCTCATCAAGTCTGGGCTGGCTGGTCCTGCAAACTCCAGGTAGCCATGTTTCCCTGTCCTCATGCTGATGATTCAAGCCCAGGTCCTCTGGCTTTGGAGAGCTTTATGGACTGAGCCATGTACTTATCTCCCAAAGCTGTTTCTCAGTCATTGCCTGTGGCTCAGGAAAGCTCTAAGTGTTGAGTAGGAAGGGGGCCAGCAGGCACCTTAGCTCCAAGGGACAAGGGTCAACAACCTACTAGCCTCAGTGCACCCTGGAACTTGGAAAAGATTAACACAATGCTCCACCTGCTGGTTACATCAAGGTTCAAGGCAGGATGGTCCCAAGCTGCAATCTTGGCGAGTTTAATATTTCAGTACCAGGGAACTGCCTTAGTGGTCTGGGTGTTTCTTCCCAGTCTTTGACCCTGGACCCACTGCTGCCACCACGTGGCGTATCAAAGTAGCACAGGCAATGGGAGCCATTAACAAGAGCCCGGCAGGAAGCTCAATCTCCTCCACTGTAGGACCACTGATGATGCCATTGGACTCAGTGCCAGCCACACTCAATTCATAAGACTTCATTTTCCATGGGGTCAGATGGACCCCATTTTCATGGGGAGGCAGAGACGCCCAAAACAGAGCTAGTGTTCATGGCTGGCCTCACCCTCACACTTCGGTAACAATTCAGCATCTATCCCAAGTCCCTGGCTACCCCCCCCCCCCCCCAGTTTCTCTGTGTAGGTTTGGAACTTGCTCTGTAGGCTGGCCTCTAACTCAAAGATCAGCCTGCTTCTGCCTCCCTCCCAAGAGCTGGGATCAAGGTGAGCACCACCACTGCCCTGCTTTAGGGCGCGCGCACACACACACACACACACACACACACCAGCCCAGGCCCTTTCTAATTTTTCATTTTAAGACTGCCTCTTGGCTAGATATAGGATGGGCCTTGAACTTGCAATCTTTCTGTTTCAGTCTCTAGAATAGCTAGAATCATTGAAGCACTTTTTAAAAAATTCTTTGTGTATTGAGTGTCTTGCCAACACTGGTGGGCCTGGTTCCTGGAGGCGGGGAGGGCATCAGATACCTGCTGTGAGCAGTCTTTAATCGATGAGCACAGCTTAGCCCTGAACATTTGTTTTTCCAAGACAAGGTTTCTCTGTGCAGCCCTGGCTGGGACTAAAGGAATGGACCACCACTCAAGGTCTGAACCATGTTTTAAAAACTTAAAATATTTTGGGGGTGCTGGGGACATAGCTCAACAATCCCAATACCTGGAAGGTAGAGGCAGATCAGAAGTGTATCAAGGATAGCTTGGGCTTGTCATTTTATTGTACTGGTGACTAAGCCAGGACCTTGCGCATGCTTGGCTGAACCACTCCCTAGCTTTTTTTTTAAATAGACTTCTGCTATATATATATAGTCTTGGCTGGCCTGGAAGCCCCCCCAGGTCAAGACCAGAACTCTGCCCCACCACGTGCTCCAGTGACCATTATCTTTTTTAACTAAGCTCTGTAGACCAGGCTGACCTCAAATTCAGAGATCCACCTGCCTCTGCTTTCTGAGTGCTGGCATTAAAGGCGTGCACTAAGTACACATTTAGTAGTGAGCCTATTCTTTATTTCAATAGTACAATCATGTGAGACTTCTACCAACCACAAGGGCCCTTGGTGGTGGTATTCTGGGTGTCTCCCTCTCCCTCCAGATGAACAAGCTGGGATAGCAACTGTCTACTAATCACTTAACTGCATCTCCCAGGAATCCAGACTCTGCAGAGCCTGACAGGATACCACAAAGCAGTTGCTTTTGGGCATTTGGCATTTTATAGAGAACTCTGGATGCAGTGAATTGAGATATAGTAGGGACTGAGTTGGCTGTAGTCAAACTTTCTTGTTTTCCAAATTAAGTTCATATTTGTGTGAGCAGACATATAGGGAGGTCAGGACACTGGTGAGTCAGTTCCTTTCAACCATGTGGGTTCTAGAGCTTGAACTCAGGTTGTCAGGCATGCAACCAAATGTCCTTACCTGCTAAGCCATCATATTATCTTCAATACTGTGCATCACTGCTCTTGAAAAGGATCTGGGACTTAAACCCCAGTACCCACATGGGAGCTCACAACGCTGATTCTATGCCCTCTTCTAACTACTCCACAGGCACTATGGGTACCTGCAAGTTGGTTCCTTTCTTTGTTCTTTGCCAGCCCTGAGTACACGTGGTACAAACATACAAGAAAAACATACATAAAAACAAAAATAGCTCCACGGGACCCAACACCCTCTTCTAGCCAATGTAGGCACACACACTCATCTATACAAATACAAAGATAAAAGAGTAGGCAAAAGACAAAAGAATTGTGAATCACCACGACTGAGACTCTGGAGAGACAGTACGGCTATTCCATGAAGCTAGCCTAAGAACAGCCCTAAGGCTGGTGTTTTCATGTAGTACACAGGCCTTGTGTTCAGTTCCTAAGACCAAGCAACAAAAACTCCACAAAAATATCTGGACAATGGCTATGCAGGTCTTTAATTCTAAGCACAGGCAGGTGGATCTCTGAGTTTGAGAACAGTCTGGTCTACAGAACACCAACCAACCCTACAAAAGTAGAATAACCAGTAAACCAATTGTGTGAACTCATCTCAGGAGCATCAATGTAGACGGTTCAAACACGATGAAAAGGTTCCTTTTCACTTGGGCATTTTGCTAAGGTCACACCTACTCTTTGCCAACTCATTGGAAGTGGGGACACATAGGAAGTAAGCAAGCTAGTGAGCAGCCTTAAAATTGCCCATTTTTGAGACATGGTCTCACTATATTACAAAGTCCAAGCTAGTCTTGTATTCAAAAGATCTGCCTGCCTGTGCCTCCTGAGTGCTGGGATTAATGGTATGCCACTATGCCTAGCGCATACACATTTTACATGTAAGGGACTGAAATTATAGATGGTTGTGAGCTGCTACATGGATGCTGGGAGCTGAATCTGGGTTCTCTGGAAGAACAGCCAGTGCCTTTCACTATTGAGCCATCTCTAGTCCTCAAAGCCATTTTAAAGTACAGGGTCTGTCAGTGGCCCCGGGGGTTACTTATGTACCAGGCTAGATTGACTAGCCAGCAAGTGCTGTGTCTGCCTCCCCAGCATCAGGATCATGGGTATGCACTGTTTTACATGGATGCTAGAGATGCACAACAAACACCTATCCTGAGATGACTGGCTTGTGCTCCCCAACCAAGCTCTACTCCCTTCTTTTGAGGGTCCAAGGGTCAGGCCTCTCCAGGAAGGCCATCGACTATGCTATGGCCCTGTGAATAGAGAGAAAGCTGCACTGAACCTGCCACCTACATTACTAATACTCAACAGCTCAACAGCACTTTACAAAACCCAACTTCACGAGTGGCCAGAAAGACACAGTAGATGTTACGTAAGGTTCTCTTTTATTTAAAAGATCATTCACAAAATACCATATCCATAGACTCACTTTCTGTCATAGAACTGAATGTGTTAAGTGTTTGGAATTCCATTCTTACAGTCAGCTGGGCGCCCAGCAGTGTGATGGACGTGCCTGTTCTGTCTTTTCCGCATTGGAGATGGATTAGATCATCTGAAAGCATCAGCTTTGATTACAACCACGCAATGCATGTCTGTCTTAAGTTAGGTATTGGTGTTACACAAATGGTTCTTATCTCAGAAGCAGAGAAGATGGCAGGCGAGGGAAGGAGTGAGAGTTCTGTAAATTGCCGAGACCTTGCAACAAAGACAATCACGAGCCAAGGGGTAGGCTGGCAGGAAGCTGCTAGCAAATAAGCAAGCTGCATACCTCTCAGCCCCTTTTCCCTAAGGCTCTAGTGGCTGGCTGACCCCTACCTGCTCTAATCAGAACAGATGGGGACTTGG